AGTTTCTAACTAAGAGGGTATTAACACAGTGATTGATGTGTATCACAGGGTTAAAAGGAGTAACCTCTGCAGAAGGTCTTTTTTTTTTAATCTCTAAGGGCTGGTCCACACTGGGGCGGGGGATCGATATAGGAAACGCAACTTCAGCTACGAGAATAGCGTAGCTGAAGTCGACGTTTCCTTTATTGAACTAAAAGTACCTACTTCGGGTCCAAGCGGCGCAGGCAGGCTCCCCCGTTGACAGCGCTTCCTCCTCTCGGCGAGCAGGAGTTCCGCAGTCGACGGGGGAGTGCTTCTGGGATCGATCTATCGCGTCCAGATGAGACGCGATAAATCGATCCCAGAAGATCGATCTCTACCCGCCGAATTAGGCGGGTAGTGTGGACCAGCCCTAAGTGCAGGGTGCTCTAAGGATTGTAACACCCAACTGGCCAGAGGGGCTTGTTAGCATATCCTGAGTGATGCTAGGCACTCAGCTGCACTCTATTTTTAGCCTGCCAGTCCCCTTGAGCTGGGAATTACATGCCCAGCACGGAGTGTAGACGTACCTGTGGCCCAGGGAGTTCCCCAGTGCCAACCCTCAGAGCGCACTCCATACCACAACTCTCTTCTGGCCTGACACGCTCATTGCCCCAACTCACAGGTGTTAAAATCTGCATCTAAAAGGTGTTGCGTAAGGTGTCATGCAAACTGCTATCATGCTGGTCATTCATATTGTTGTGTGGTGCATGAACGGGTGAGGTTTAAAGAACGATAGATGTGTGCCTAAGCCCAACTGTCCTAAACAAAGGGCTGTTGTTTCGCTGGCTTGACTGTGTCTCCAATGTAAATTAATTAAGTTGAGAGCAAAGCAAAGAAAATGCCATTTACATGTAAGGTAAACAAAGACATCAGGCAAACCAGTGTCCTTGAGCTGAAAATGACATGCCCAGCAAAAAGTGTAAACATACCTGTGGCCCAGGGAGTCCCCCAATGGCAACCCTAACTCCATACCACACCTCTCTTCTGGCCTGACACGCTCATTGCCCCAACTCACAGGTGTCAAAATGTGCATCTAAAAGGTGTTGTGTAAGGTATTATACAAACTGGTATGCTGGTCATTAATATTGTTGTGTGGTGCATGAACAGGTAGGGTTGCCAACTTTTCAATTGCACAAAACTGAACACCTTTGCCCTGCCCTCCCCTTCTATGAGACCCCGCCCCCACTCACTCCAGCCCCTCTTCCCCCATCGCTCACTCTCCCCCACTCTCACTCACTTTCACTGGGCTGGAGTAGGTGGTTGGGGTGTGGGAGGGAGTGAGGGCTCTAGTTGGGGGTGCGGAATCTGGGGTGGGGCTGGGGATGAGGGGTTTGGAGTGTGGGAGGTGGTTTGGGGTGCAGGCTCCAGGAGGGGGTTTGAGTGCAGGAGCGGACTGAGGCCTGGGGCAGGGAGTAGAGGTGCAGGTGTGGGTGTGGGCTCTGGGAGGGAGTTTGGGTGCGGGATGGGGTCCAAGGCTTGGGTAGGAGATTGGGGTGTGGACTCCAAGAGGGAGTTTAGGTGCAGGAGGGAGCTCAGGACTGGAGTCGGGGGTTGAGGTGTGGGAGGGGATTTGGGGCGCAGGCAGAGGGTTGGGGTGTGGGGTCTGGGAGGGAATTAGGGTGCAGAAGGGAGCCCAGGGCTGGGGCAGGGGATTGGGTTGGGGTGGGGGTGGAGGGTGAGGTCTGGGAGGCAATTAGGGTGCAGGAGGGGGTTCTGACCAGGGGCAGGAGGTTGGGGTGCATGTGCGGGTTTGGGGTGCGGGCTCTGGTCAAGCGGCACTTACCTCAGGTGGCTCCTGATCGGTGAGGCAGTGGGGCTAAGGTAGGCTCCCTTCCTGCCCTGGTTCCGTGCTGCTCCTGGAAGCGACCGGCATGTCTGGCCACTAGGCAAAGGCACTGCCAAGTGGCTCTGTGTGGTGTGCCCTGCCTGCCTCAGCAACTCCCATTGGCTGCAGTTCCCGGCCAATGGGAGCTGCAGAGCTGGCACTTGGGATGGGGGCAGTGCATGGAGCCTCCCTGTCTGCCCCTGCACCTATGGGCTGCAGGGACATGCCAGTCACTTCTGGGAGCTGCACAGCGTCAGGGCAGGCAGGAAGCCTGCCTTAGCCCCGCTGCGCCACCGACTGGACGTTTAACGGCCTGGTCAGCGGTGCTGGAGCCGCAGGGTTCCTTTTCGACTGGACGTTCCAGTCAAAAACCGGATGCCTGGCAACCCTATGAATGGGTGAGGTTTAAAGAATGATAGATGTGTGCTGGAAATATGTTTCTAAAATGTGTGCTTAAACCCAGCTGTCCTAAATAAAGGGCTGTTGTTTCACTGGCTCGACTGTGTCTCCATTGTAAATTAATCAAGGTGAGAGCAAAGACAAAGAAATGTCTATTTACATGTAAGGTAAACAAAGCCATCAAGCAAGCAAGTGGGGGACGATGACCACTTAACAATCTTGATGGGGGATGGAGGCTGCACCCCAAGGAAGCCTTCCTGCCTCTTCAAACAGGGTGAATGAACTTTGGGAAGATGAGCGGAGGCAGAAAGACATTTTGTTATCCATCACCTCAGGGTCAAAGGGGAGCAGCGCCCTTTGAGCTCATGCAAAGTGGATCCTCTTAGCCTGGAACCCAAGAGTAGCTGGAACTGACTCTAGGGGAGAAATCTGCTTAGACAGAGACTGTAACTTGCTGGAGTTAAGTTTTAGTCACTAGCAAGCATGTTTTGTTTTACTTGTTACTATGCCTGTGTCTTCCATTGTTAATTATTCTTCCTTAAATATCTGTTCTTTGTTAATAGACTCACTCTAGTTTTATTACAAAACCACCGCGGTGCTGTGTACGGAACTGAAGGTAAAATCCTGAGCCAAACTAGCAGGCTGGTGTCTCTTTGGAGGCAGTACACTTGATAACTTCTGTGAGTACCCAGTGAGAGGGACTGACCGCGGCCGAATGACGTCTCTGGGGAACTCGGGCACTGGGGTTCACTGACGGTTCCCGGTAAGGCGAGGTTTGGACTGGCAGCATCCTGAGGAGTTGCTAGCCGGGCAGGCGAGCTGGTGTGGCAAGGAGCTGACAATAGCTGAGCAGCAGCAAAGCTCTCACTTGCTGAGGCAGAGCAGTAACCGTGTCTGACAGTTTTGAGTGACCTGAGCAAGGCCTCACATACCCTCACTTTCACCATCTGTAAAATGGAGGTGATAATAATACCCACCTACTGCCCAGGAGCTTTGTGAGGATCAACTAATGTCTGGACAGTACTTTCAACACATCAAGTGCTACAGAATCAGGCCCTGGGGGGTCTCAGGTTGGTGCGCAACCAACCCAAGTTAGTGGAGACTTTGGAAACTTTGGCTTTAATCACCCCAGGTAAAACTTTCAAAAGCGCTTAAGTGACCAGGAGCCTAAGTCTCTTTTGCAAATGGGACTTAGGCAAAGAGATGCTGAAGTCTCCATAGTACTGGGGCTCCTAAGTGACTTATGAAAATGGAAGTTAAGTCCCTAAAACACTTGGTGCTTTTGAAAATGTTACCATGGGCACCATCCACCCAGTGCAGTCAATGATGCAGGAGCTGTGTGGCACAAATAGTATGTGTGCCTGCAATTAGACTGTATCATAATGTTTCTGCATAAGGGGGCAGGAGAATTAGCCATGTACAGACAACCTTACCGCTGGTATTTCCTAAATTTTGAGTATTTGACTTTCACTAAATAACATTATCCTTTTCTCTCTCTTTCTCTCTCTGTTTTTTTCTTTCTTTGTATGTAAGGTAAATATTAGAGCTGGTTGAAAACTCCAAATTTTTTCCTGTGAAGTATTTCAAATGCAGTATTTCAGTTTTTCTCTGGATTTCTGAAGCAGAACCAAGATTTTAACCTTTAAAAACAGAATGAGGATTATTGTTCAGATTCTAACTAAAATGTTGTTTCATTTCAACTTCTGGAAACAAAAATTCAGTTTTCCATTTCCATTTTACAATTTATAGGTTCTCCCCATTTCTCTCCCTTTTTATTTTTTCCCCAGTTTTTCCCACTGTAAAAACTTTGAATAAAAGTAAAAAAGTATCAGAAAGCAGGAAAAACACTTCTGAACTTTTTCAACTGGATAGGTGTGTTGTTGTTTTTTTTTAAGTGAAAGCAAGTGCTACATTCTTTGGGTTGTGCTACCAAAAATATCCTCAGGAACTCACGTGAGAGAAGGGAAATCCTTATTTTCAGCAGTTTATAGTGCAGCCAAAATGGAAGGAATTTCACTGAAGTAAGGGGAGGCACTTTCCTGGCCCCAGCACTAACTACTTGCTGAATTGCAAAGGCCGGCTGCAAGCAATGAAGGCACGAGGGCTTCTCCAGAAGGTGGAGAGAATATTTTATAATAGAATGTGTGAAGCAACCTCCATATAGGGGGCCGCTCCCCCAGTAACTTTCAGAGTAATGATTTGAAGAAGGATGGGAACAGCGAATTGGTGACATTTATGAAACCTTAAGGACAAATTCTGTCCCTGCTTTACTGCCCTGCATAAGCACATCTTTGCTGCAACTCTTCCTGGAGAATCCAGGGCTTTCCTAGGTCATAACTATTCGTTTGTGATAATATTTATTTTACTTTTACTTGTAATAGTTTAATTATTATTATACATGTGTTAGAATCTAGCTCCCCCTCCCCTTGCTGTGCCTTGAGGTTCCCCTGCTCTGGGGTCAGTGTCACACACTGAGGGGCAGGTGTCATTAATCCAGCATTACACTTACCTGAACAAACCACACTGGCATCATTGTCGTGAGAGCACTGAGAGACACCCAGGGCAGTAACAGGGCAATGCCATAAATGAGGCTCATTCCCATTACAGTGAAATGTGTCTGGCCAGACAGAGCCATTTCCCTTCCCAAAAAACCTTCCTCCTGGGGCTGATACAGCGAATCCACAGTCGAACTGATGACAGAGAACGTTGGCATCTGGTAAATCCCAGCGTGAGTCACAGAGGGTTCCCCAGGTACCAAGAACCTGGATCTCCACCCTCCCTGAGCACTCTGAGCTGCCGTTCACCAGCCGGAAACCTGTGAGCCCTGGGGAGAAGAGAGAAGGGGTTTAGAGAGGGAGCATTTAAGATATTTTATATTAAATAATAAAGAAAAGAAAAGGAAAGTCGGGGGGATTGAACTATGCCCATTATGTTGAATTGTTTAGGTTTTACGAGAAGCTGAGAGCAGCTCTATTATCCCAGCTCCCTACAGAGTGAGATCTTTTTATTGCTGCACCCTACTGTAGAATACACAGCACTGGGATTTTAGAGACATTGAGCCAAATTCTTACGTGAGCATATGACACTAGCATTATTTGCATGTGAGCACGTCTGAATCACAGGTGATATCCTGGGACAGTACACAAGATGTGTCTCATTCCCGACACACTGGAATTCCTCAGTCCTGTTTGGTCCATGTCCTTCTCTGAAATGAGCTCCTCCTGGGATAGACAGAGCTGTTCCACACTGTAGTCCATTACAGATAACACTGGCAGCTTTGAGATCAAAGTGTGCATCACAGATTGTAGCCCAGGTGTCTCCATGTCTTACTTCCACACGTCCTGAGCAGGCACTGTCCCCTCCAACCAGCTGGAGCTCAATGTGTCCTAGAAAGCCAATGAAGGATGAAAATTACAAAGTAGCCTTAGGGAGTTAGGTGTTCCATGCCTTAGAACTTTGGCCAAAAGCCAGTCCTGGTGCAGTGGGGCAGTGCAGGCACCAATTAGAAATAAAAAAAAAATACAATGTACAACAAATGGGAAGAGGGGAATTCAATAGCAATCAATATACATTAGAAGTTAAAAATGTAGAAAATTGATAAGGGAAGCTAAAGCTAAAGGGGAAAATCCATGTTTGGCAGGGCTAAAAAGAATAATGAGAATTTTTAAAAATATATTAGGAGCAAAAACAAACAAACAAATCCTAACAAAGGTGTAGGCCCATTACAAATGGAGATGGTAAAATAGTTTATAAGCAAATAAGGCAGAGGTGTTCTGGTTTTGGATAGAAGCAGGTTGTGTATTCATACTATGTGAAGAGGGTGAACCAGTCTGCAGTCCACTGGTAACTAAGAAGGATGTTAAACAGTATCTACTAGGGAAAAGGGAAAACTTTTTTAAAAATCAGCGGGCCTGAATAGCTTATAAAATCTTAGAATAAATAGAAATGGAGGACTGGAAGGAACCTCACAAAGTCAGCTAGTCCATCCCCCCACACCAAGATAGGTTTAAGTATACCTAGTCCATCCCTGATAGATGTTTGTCTAACTGGTTCTTAAAAGTCACCAATGATGGGGATTCCGCAACCTCCCTTGGTACCTTGTTCCAGTACTTAACTATCCTTATAGTTGGAAAGTTTTTCCTCATATCTGATCTGACTCTCCGTTGCTGCAATCTAAGTGGATTACTTCTTGTCCTACCCATCGGAGAGAGAGAGCCCAAAACTGGACACAGTGCTCCAGCTGAGGCCTCACCAGTGCTGAGTACAGCAGGACAATTACCTCCTCTGTCTTACATAGGACAATTCTGTTAATTAAATCCAGAATGATATTTCCTGTTTTCAAAACAGCATCACCCATTTCACTCAGTGATCCAATATAACCATAGAACATTTTCTGCAGTACTGCTGCCTAGTCAGTTATTCCCCACTTTGGATTTTTTGCATTTGATTTTTCCTTCCGAAGTCTAGTACTTTGTACTTGTCTTTACTGAATTTTAATTTACTGATTTCAAACCAATTCTCCAATGTATCAAGGTCATTATGAATTCTAATACTCTCATCCAAAGAGCTTGTGACCCCTCCCAGGTTTGTGTCATCCACACATTTGATGAGTTTATTCTCTACTCCACCATCCAAATCATTAATGAAAATATTGACTAGTACCAGGCCCAGGAGAGTGATATTATTTATGTATCCATTGGAACACAGTGACCAGAGAGAAAAGTGTTAAAGCAACTAAAGACCAACAAGAATATGTCTTACCTAATCCTCAGCATTTCCCTCAAAACCTGGGCTGTCCCAACCTATCCCAGGTACCCCTGCTTTTGGGGACTGGGTTCAATCTCCTTCCCTGCAGACCCTGCCTCTCCCTCTCTATTCATCAGGGCTCCCCTTTTGATAGTTCCCAAGCTCTTTGTTTAATTTGCCAACTTGAAGGTTCCTTCCCCTCTCCCAAGCTAGGGGGGTTGTGCCCAGCTTGGTCAGAGGCAAAAGCTGAAAGGCCTTGACACCTGTATAGTCAGTTAAGTACCAGTGACTGGGTTCTCTGTAGCCACTGTCTGCCTTGCTGGGACATGTAGGGAGCTCCAGCAGGAGTTACTCTTTGAACCCTGGTAGGAAATGGTAAAACAGCAATAAAAGAAACAGAGGTGCACATAATATACATAAAAATACAGATATCTCCCATGGTCTTAGCAGGGGTCATAGTGGACAAGCACCTGAACTAGAGCTCCCAGGGAGATGCTGTGGAAAGGCTGAGGTGATCCTTGGAGGTTTAAACAGGGGAGCAGTGAGAAGAGCTGGCTGAAACGCAGGATTTCCAGATCACAGGAAATTTCGCTATTTCAAAACTTCCTGTGAACCAGAAATCCTCTCAAAAAATTTTTCTGGAAAGACCAATGTACGGAGTATCCTACATGAAATTTGCTCCCAGGGACACCTGCAGATGCTGAGTGACACTGACATTCTTGTCAATTTCACCAGTGCTAAGAGAAAAACAAAAATGTCCATTTCTCTCAGCTGCTGCTGGGGCTCCCAGGGACTGTGGCTCTTCGGAAACCTCACCATGCAGACTGCCTTGGACTGGGGACCCCGGGCTTCCAGACTTCTGGGCCAGCTGGTGTCCCAAATAGCCCACTGGCCTGGGAGTCTGGAAGCTCTGGGGTCCCCAGTCTGGGGCAGTCTGCAACGCAGGGCTGCCTCAGAACCGCAGATCCTAGGAATTGGGATCCCATCCCAGGATTTCTAAATTCCCTGCTGTGGAGCTGCGAGCTGAGCCCTGGTTAAAGCTGGGACTCCCTTCTCCATGGCAGGGTTGCCCAGGAGATGCAGATTATAGAACACCAGGGTCTCTGGTGCTGGGGCAGTCTACATGGTGCAGCTATCGCAGAGCAGCTGATCTGAGAAGACTGGGGTACCTGGCCCCAAGGCAGTCTGCATGGCAGGGCTGGCTGGAGCTCCCCAGGCGAGCTGGCACTTAACCATTCAGGTTTCTGCCACAACCTGCCTGTGATCTGGAGAAAGTTCATTGCACCCGACTCACTTTCATGGGAAATGTTGAGTTCAACAAACCAGCATTTTCCAATGAAGCTCCATTTTGTTGGATAATTTCTGACCAGGGACATGATTTTACCTCTGTTTACAGCATGGTGAGACCGATACTGCATCCAGCTGTGCTGTCCACATTTTAAGAAGGATATTTAAAAAAAAATGGAAAGGGTGCAGAGAAGACCACAAAGATGATTTGAGGACTTGAAAATGTGACTTGCAGCGAGAGATTCCAGGAGCTCCGTCTGTTTATTTTCAAAAAAGAAGACCAAGAAGTGACATGATTATAATGTATAAGTACTTTACTGTATAAGTACTTGTGCAGGGACAAAACTCTGGTAGTGGAGGCCTCCTTATTCTAGTGGAGAAAGGCAAAACAAGAACAAATGGCTGAAAGTTAAAGCCAGATAAAGTCATATTCAAAGTAAGTCATACATTTTTCATAGTGAGGGCGATTAACCATTGGAACAAACTGAAGAGGGAAGCAGAAGATTATTCACCTCCTGAAGTATTTAGATGAAGACTGGATGCCTTTCTCAAAGATGTGCTTTAGCCAAACAAAAATTATTGGGGTCAGTTCAGGAGTAACTGGATTAAATTCTGTAGCCTGTTACCCAGGAGGCCAGACTATATAATCTAATGCTTCCTTCGGCCCTTAAAATCTATGAACCTATGTAGCTGTTACCGAAATATCGGGTCCACCTAGCTGAGAGCCAATAACAGCCAGACAGGGATAAGGAAGAGTTGCTTTATTCTGCAGAAGAAAGGAGAGCCTTGCACCTTGGTACAAAAACTCTGTCTTACACACATTTTACAGATCCTTTATACACATTCAGACAAAAGCCCTTGCCGTGTTAACACTTGATTGGTGGTTATCAGACCTGTGCTTTTGCTATCTGGTCAGTGAAAACCAGTTTGGGACCAGCTCCAACTACCTCAAGGCCTTGAAAGGGAAGACAGTTGAAAAGTTCAGGCTACTGTGTACTTGAGGTGTCTGCTTCCCCCTAATGGTCACTGGTTGACATAAAGGCTGCTAGCTGTTAAGGGGGGGTCACTAGTAACTTTCACATAGCTAAAAGGAAGTTAAATTTGTAAAGTCAAGTACTCAAACATTCAGAATGCCACACTCGTGCTGTCCTCTGTAACCTTAATTAGTCCCTTTTGTATTTGCATTGTGATAAGCCTTTAATTACATGATCAAATGCTATTTTTGCCACAGGAGCCCTGCCTCATTGAGTGCACAGGACACGTGTTGCTGACTGAATGGGTGGATGGTCAATAGTTCTTTTTATACTCATCGTTCAATGTGTGGCCCCAGCCCTTCTGTACTGCACATCATCCAAACTGAACTCCCAAAACAGAATTGTTAATTTCCGCATGGACTTTTCTATAGAGCTCATTTCTATGGTAGCTGAGTGCTTCACAAACATTAAAGAATTTCTCTTCACAACACCCCTGGGAGGCAGGGAAGTGTTGTTATCTCCATTTTACACATGGGGAACTGAAGCCCAGAGACACTATGGACAAAATGATCAAAAGTGTCGACTGATTTTGGGTGCCCAATTTTAGACACCAGGTCCTGATTTTTCAGAGTCCTTAGCATTATACAGCACTTAGTATGTTCAGAGCACAGCACCTACTGACTTCAGTTTAGAGCAGCGAGTGCTCAGCACTTCTGCAAATCAGTCCCCCACAGTTTCAAGGGGGGCACCCATAAAATGAGGAACATACAAATAATGACCACCTGGGAAACATTTGGTTTCAGTGACTTGCCAAGCA